TTTTAATTTGAATCTCTCTAATAGCTACTGACATTGAGCATTGTGTTATGTGCCTAAGGGCCCTCTTTATGTCCTCTTTGGATAAGTGTCTGTTTAGGTCCTTTGCCCATGTTATAATTGGATTGTTTGCCTCCCTGGTGTGGAGTTGTGGGAGTTCTTTATATATTTTTGAGATCAAGCTTTGTCTGAGGTATCATTGGCAAATATGTGTTCCCTTATGGTTAATACACTGTCCATTTTATTGATTTTTTTTAGCTGTGTTGAAACTTTTTAGTTTGATGTAGTCCCACTTGTTCATTGTTTTCTTTATACCCCTTGCCCTAGGGGGTGTATTGGTGAAAATACTGCTGTGTGGGATATCAGAAATTTTCCTGCCTATGTTTTCCTCTAGAATTTTTATGGCATCATGATTTATATTTAAGTCTCTTATCCATCTTGAGTTTATTTGTTGTATGGTATACATTGGTGGTCTAGCTTTATTTATTTTTTTGCATGTACTTGTTCACATCTCCCAACACCATTTATTGAAGAACCTACTTTTACTCCATTTTGTGTTCCTGCCTCCTGTGTCAAATATTTACTGACTATATTGACATGGGTGTATTTCTGGGCTCTCTATTCTGTCCCATTGGTTTATGTGTCTGTTCTTATGCCAGTACCAGAATGTTTTGATTACAGTGGCCTTGCAATATAATTTGATATCAGGAATTGTTATCCCTTCTACTTTGTTCTTTCTTCTCAAAATTGCTGAGGCTATTTAGGGTCATTTTTCAACCCTTGCAAATTGTTGAAATATTGGATCTAGGTTTGTGAAATAAGTCATTGATATTTTGATAGGAATTGCCTTGAATCTATAGATTGCTTTGGGTAGTATGGGCAATTTAATGATGTTAATTCTTCCAATCCGTGAATACAGTATATACTTCCATTTATTTGTGTCTTCTTTAATTTCTTTCTTCAGTGTTCTTTAGTTTTCTGAGTATAGGTCTTTAACCTCCTTAGATAAGTTTACTGCTTAGTATTTTATTTTTCTTGTTGCTATCATATATGGGATTTTTTCCTAATTTCTGTTTCTGATATTTTATTGTTGGTATAAAAATGCCTTCGATTTCTGAATATTGACAGTGTATCTCACTGTTCTGCCAAATTCACTTATTAAGTCGAGTAGTTATTTGGTGGAGTCTATAGGGTTTTCTATGTATACTATCATGTCATCTGCAAACAGTGACAGCTTTACTTCCTCCTTTCCAATTCGGATATATTTAATTTCTTTTTCTTATCTGATTGCCGTGGCTAGAATTTCCAATACTATGTTGAATAGAAGTGGTGATATTGGACACCCTTGTCTTATGCCTGATCTTAGAGGGAAAGCTTATTGGTTTTGCCTGTTGAGAATGATGTTGGCTTTGGGTTTCTCATATATGGTCTTTGTTACTTTGAGGCATGCTATCTCTAGTCCCACTTTGCTGAGTATTTTTTATCATAAATGGGTGTTATGCTTTATCAAATGTTTTTTCAGCATCTATTGGTATGACCACGTAGTTTTTGTCTTTTATATTAGGTGGAGTATTACATTTATTGTTTTGTATATATTGTACCACCCTTGCATCCCTGGGATGAATCCCAGTTGATTATGGTATATGATTTTTTTAAATGTATTGCTCAATCCTGTTTGGGTAGCGAGATTTATTGGAATCATTGCATGGCTTATTGGAATGCAGCCAGTGAAAAAACGGGTGGATCTTAGACTAGATTTTCAAGAACTTTGATCCTTTCTGTCTGAATGTGATTGCTTTATGTCACAGATTTAGCTTCAGTCATGCAGGATTGGGGTTTAGGTACAGATATGGTTGATCTTTACAAACCTAGATTAAGAAAACAAACCAAATGGTTTGATTTTTATTTTAGGTTTTTAGAATGGTTTAATTCAATTGTTGAGTTTAGAGAGGCAATATAGTGTACTAGTTAAGTGGGTAGGGTCATGTTAAATCCCAGCTTTGCATTTATTAGTTATGTATTATTTGTTAAATCACTTAATTGCCCCTGACTTCACTTCCTTCAGAAGTGAAGCTCAATCTTCAAAAAGGACTTCCTATTAAGTAATTTGTGGTGAGAATGCAATGAGTTAATATTGTAATGTGCTTAGAACAGTGCCTGACACCTGAGAAGAACACAATTGATGTTATTATGGTTTTGAAACAGAAAATATCAAATAATGTGATACTAGATAAATAGAAATTTATTTTGTAGGTTTTCTTGAATTAAATGAAAGCTGAAAAACACAATTTCTTGTTTTACTTAAGTTTCCTTATCAGAAATGAGGTTTAGTAAAATAAGGCCCTCTTAGGATGATGTCCCTAGGTTCATCCATAGGGACATAAATGGCAAGATTTTCTTTCTTTTAAAGCTAAATAATATTTCATTGTTGTGTTTGTGTGTATACATATTTACTTGTTAATGGGCACAAGTTGTTTCCATATCTTACATAGTGTGAATAATGATGCAATCCATAAGAATGGGGATGCAGATATCTCTTTGAGGTCCTGGTTTCATTTTCTTCAGATAAATACCCGGAAGTGGAATTGCTATATTATATGGTAGTTTAATTTTTAATTTTTTGAGGTACCTCCATAATTTTTTTCTACAATGCTTGCACCAATTTACATTTATGCCAAAAGTGCATGAGGGTTCCCTTTGCTCTACATTACTTGTTATGCTCTTAGGCTTTCTTCTTAATAATATAGAAAAAAAAACATAAAAGAAGGGTTCTCTTTGTATAGGTGTGAGGAAGTTTGCATCTTCTTATTGATTTGCCTGACATAGTTCATTGAAGTTCAGAAGATATAGTAGGTAAAATAGACCACTGTTTAGTATAAGTAATTCAGAACATAAAGGTTCTATAGAAAAACTGTCAATCTCAAAATTTTATGTTTTCATGGCAATTAAGAATTTATCCCCCTTCTCCTGCCTTTTTGCTTTTGATCTCTTCTGTGCTCCATTTCCAGTGACAAGCAAAAATCTGATGCAGCAAACCTAAAAAAAAAGAAGGTCTTAGTACTTAGAGGGCTGATTGCCCAGTCAGGTTTTACTGAGTGTTGGGAAGTCTAAGGTGTAAGAGTAATTTTTTTCACTCATGAATATCTTGGAATGATGTGATATTTTAAAGTTATATACTACAGAAAAAGCAATATATGTAACACAATCTAATAATCACTTAGATGTTTCTTTTTAAAATCCCAGCCTTCTAAAAGTACTTATACTTGAATGTCTAATCACACTGGTTTATGGTATTGTGGTGTTCATGCATTATTTTTCACATTTTTATAATACTATACTATCTTTGAAGAAAATCTGTGTACCATGAAGTCATTTTCAAATTATTAGTTTTATCAGATGCACAAAGAAACAGATATTAGCATTTAAAAAAATTTTTAAAGATTTTATTTATTATTTATTTTTAGAGAGAGAAGGGAGGGAGAAAGAGAGAGAGAGAGAGAAACATCAATGTGTGGTTGCTGGGGGTCATGGCCTGCAACCCAGGCATGTGCCCTGACTGGGAATCAAACCTGTGACACTTTGGTTCGTAGCCTGCGCTCAATCCACTGAGCTACGGCCAACCAGGGCTTGCATTTTTAAAAAATTTTAAAGCACTAAACAAAGGCTAAGAATATTCTGGTTTTGAACAGCTTTCTTTTTGTATTATTTTTGCATATGTATTTTGTGTTCAGCTTTTTGCAAGCCCACAATTTTTAACTTGTAATATATAAAAGATTATTATTTTTTATTATTTTTATTGACTTTATTTGGGTAACATGATTAATAAAATTATATAGGTTTCAGATGTACAAGTCTATGATATAAATCTGTATATTATATTGTATGTACACCTCCCCAGTGGGGGTAATGGTAGAAGATGACTTAGAGAGGTGACTACAATTTTTCTATCAATTACAAGATATTAGACTTCATCATTCTGTAACATCCTATTGGTTTGACAGCATGATCACATTTGCATATCCCATTCAGCAGTTGTGGAGATGCCAGTTGCCATGGCGAGGATTATGATACCCCACAAATCTAGTTTGATTTGGCAATAGCCTTAGAAAAGCCACATGCAAATATTTTTTTCAAAGGTATAACTAATTGTTTTTGAAGCACTGGATCACTATAGTGGTTATCTTTTCAATGAATCATTAAATGAGAATGTCATTATGCAATTTCCCTTATTGTTTTAATAAACTTTCATTGTGCTCTACCTCAAGACCTTTTGGCCAAGAATCAAAAACCACATTGTATAATTTAACTCTCCTTTTTCTATTAAAAATGAGATTATCTATTTAATTTGTCTGATTTGTCCAGATTGTTGTCAGAGCTGACCTCACAGTGTAGGTTTGTTATGGATTCTCTCCCTGAGTTCAGAAGTCAATTTTCCCATTTTCCTATGATTCTTCCATTCAACTCAGGGTGACCCTTTATACATCAAGGAAACATTTTCCATACTGGGGCTTTATCAGAATTCTAGCATGAACTTTTTTTTAATATATGTTTTTCATGTTTGGGGATTATTTATTAAATTAAGTTTAAAAATCCATTAAAAAACCTTTAATATGGTTTGTTTGAGCCAGAAGTTTGTAAAACCCTTGTACTGCCATCCTGAATGATATTAGCTTAAACTATTAAATTAATTAGTTTAGGACTTCAGTAATAATTAAACTAATGGAGTAAGTAGTTTAATTGTTTTAACTAAAAATTTAACACATGTATTAGTTTAATAAAATGATTTATTTTATGCAGCTAGCAAATGCAGCTTATAACAGCATATTCTTCACCTTTTATGATTAGTATACTTCAAGTTTGATAAATACAGGGAAGTCTGAGAGACAGAAGATATAAGACTGTTCTTCTATAAAATATCCTCTTATTTCTGAAAAATAAAATAAAACAGAAAAGAAAAAAATTTGACACATGTGAGGCTTATGATAACTATGTTTGCCTTTCAGATCCCCAGCTCAAGGGTATAGTGACAAGGTTATATTGCAGGCAAGGCTACTACTTGCAAATGCACCCTGATGGAACTCTCGATGGAACCAAGGATGACAGCACTAATTCTAGTAAGTGACAACCTCAGGCCTCCAGTTAACATGGTTGGTAGACGATACACTGCTACTTAAATGATTTTTAAAAGTACATTTGCAAATATTTGGTTATGTTCACTCATTTTTACAATGTTACATAGTAGAATGACTTTCACAATTCTACTTGGACCACATAGATGAAAATATTAATAGTATAACAAAAGATATTTTTATTATTTTGAGTTTTTCCAACAATTGTTATAACTCACATATTATTGTTACTTTTAACCTCAGGGCCATAAAAGTCAAATAACTACATGAGAGCATGCAGATAGAAGTTGATTACATGTTTATTTTGGAAGTGTTATTTTTATCAGACCTATAGCATATTAATGATTATTATGAAAATGCAAAAGCTACAAGGATTATTTTAAATAATAAAAAATTTAATTTTTAATATTTTTGGCATTCAGCAAGAAAAGATCAATCTTTATAGAGAGGACAGGAAAGCTGTGTACCTCTAATATATAGTGTATATAGTGTTTAACTATGTTATAGAACTGGGTATGTGACATGTTTTAGTAAAAGCCACATGCCTCCTATTGTATTAATGTCTTTCTTCATTTTACTATTTATTTATATATAATTTTTCTTTGTAATTTTATTCTGGTATCCTTCCTTATTCAATTGTCCATGGTTTTTCCCCATTTTCTGTTTATACAAGATTCTGATTTCTTTTAATTTAGCATATCAGTTTTACACACACTTGCTACTGCTAAGGAAAATTAGTGAAAAGCAAAAACTGATTTCATTAGAAAGGGATAGGTCAAGTCAAGGAATATGTATAAAGGCCCCGTGGACAAGACAATGGGTGGAGGGGGCTGAAGGTAGGAGGGAGGTGGGGCAGGGGAGGGTAATAGGGAAAAATGAGGACAATTGTAATTGAACAACAGTAAAAGATATTTTTTAAAAAGAAGTGTTTAATCATATATTACCGGTGGATCAGGAACGGATCTGAGCCTTTTCATCCATTTATCATTTATTCTCTATGTATTATTTCTTCTTTTCATTCCATGAAAAGAAGGTAGGATTTGAATGCATGTAAACAAATTATAGACATTTTGTATTTTAAATTCTAGTAATCCACTTTTCAATAATACTGATTCTGAGGGCACCTAATAATATGAAATACACTTTCTTTTTCATTTGTTGCTACTATGTGAAATATCAATATTTTTATAGCCATGATATTTATTTTTTAAACTTTGGATATTGCTTTATTTTTACTTTTCTTTCTACTTTAAAATTTTTTGTTGTTTATCTACATTTTACTCTTTTTCAATTTCTAATCTTTTTCTCTTTTTGTGTCTGTTATATTGCCCTTATATTTTTAAACTTTTCTTTATCATATTCATCAATTTATTTTTACTTTCCTTTTTTTAAGAAAAAAGGTAAATTAATTCAGACACAGGAAATAAAGAGGAGTTATTTTCATTATAATACCAATGTCATTTTTTACTTGTTAGGATTTTGGTATTAGGTTGAACCTTAAAATTATTAGTACTTGACTGCATTTGACCTACTAAAAATGTCAGTTTCTTCTGGTTCAAGCTCACCTGTATATCTATCTGCTCAAGGGTTTTTTTTTCCTTGCCTTTACCTTACCCATTCTTTGACAAAAGGTGTTTTGTTTTACTTATGTGTTACAGTTGTGGTGGTCATGAACTTTTAGAGATTCTTAAGTTCTGATGTCTTCAATGCTCTCTGATTTCCTTTGGCCACAATCTGGCAGAGTATGTGGATTGGTTTTACATAACTCTGATTATTCTAAGATCTATGACACACTGACCTAACAGACTAGAGGATGGTGTCACCTATTATGACAAGTTTTCAAAAAAGGATTAAAATATAGTTGTATGAAAATGCTGTGTAGTTGGACTTCTTGGGAAAATAATTTCCTTCAAATAAAGGTTTTGTGAATTTTTTTCTTACCTTCTTTGGTTTTTATAGTGCCAAATATGGTAGTTACTTTTAATGATGACAATCAATATCAAATTCAGAATGGTCAAGTAGATGTTGTCTTTTAAAAACATTTTGCTTCAGAATTGAATAAGTGGCACAATATTTCCTAAAGTGTGAAAATGGATATGTAGACATTGTTTACATACATACTTGATTATATCTGGCTACCTGAATGATATTCAACACTAAACTGGAAATCTCAGATACTAAAAGATACTTGACCTCCTGTTCTCTGAATGTATGAGGTTTTTTTCATACTATTTTGTAACTGTATTAGAAGCAACAGAATCTGTGAGTAACTCTTGAAATCATCTCTTATCTCCCTAAATGCTGATGAGGAACAGCACTGTGCATGAAGCAGGAACAGGAACACCTGTTTAAAAGCAAATCAAAACCAAATTTTAGTGTTCTCTCTTGAGAGACTTAAATTCCTACACAAAGATCTGGCCCACAGCTTCTTTTTCTTACAAGTTACATTCCTTTTTTGTGTAATTTGATCCAGTTAGGTCAGTTTTCTTACCATTTCAACATTTGCAAAGATAGCAGAATAGTATAAAGTAGGGTGAGATGCAAGTTCTGTTCTCAAAAGGCTATAAAAATTGTACAACTATAAAATTTAATAAAATTTGGCAGAATTATAGTAGCTTTATAAAAGCAAAAATAATTACTAATTAACTCTACTTTTGTGTACTATCAGATTTTGAATTGAAATGTACAGTTTTTAGGATGAATTTTAAGATATTTTTTTCTCTGGTTCCTTGCAGTAGTCTTAAGAATAAGGAAATTGTTAGTACAGACAGGTATTCTTAAATGAGGGTGAGCATTAGAGATACTGACAGATCCTAATTAGACCACTGTCCTTGTGATTTGACAAAAGGTGTGATATAATTATTCAACAATGTGTTTTAGTTTTTGATAATTCTCTGAACACAAAACAAGGATTGGTGATCCATAAGGAAGAAAAATAATGAAAAAATATCCCCAAAGTTTCCCTGATGCTACCCAAAAATTACCAAATAAGAAACCTGAGGCTTAAACCTTCAAATCTTTATGATTTGAGTTCAAAACATATCTCACTACTAAACATGAAATTATTTAGAACTAAATAAAGTCAGAACCACTCTGCTAAGCTGCATTTGTCAAAATTTTATGAGTTCAGAAGAAGAAGAAGGCCAGCAGGCAGATGAACCTGATACATATGTCTTCCCAGTGTTGCTGGCCTGAGATTTAGAAATCTCTTGAAGGAAAAATGGCAAGAAAAGGGTTGATGGTGGATAATTGTCCTAATAGAGGGGATACTGTAGCAACTTGAATGTTTATCATTGGCTTCCGCATACCTTGGAAAGATCTTTCACAGAATGAAGTGAACACCCTGATTACATCATGACTTACACTCATTTTCAAGGGTAAACTTCTTTAAAATCCATAGAATTTCCTTCTGTTAACTAAACATCATCATCACCATGAACTAGGGTATTTGATTGAGGAGTGGTTTACTTTCCCTAATTTACTCTTGGGGATGCCCTGGGGTTTTTCTATGCTGCTAAAGTACATTGTTCTAGTTATTTGACTTAATAGATACTGCAAGCAGAATAGCATTATAGAAATATCAATGTGCTAGTACCTATAGCAATGTTAAAACCTCAAACAAACCAGTCCTTCTCATCTGAGAAATTCCTAACATAATAGCTTGATGTGCTAAAAATTGCCAATAGCTCAAAGTGACCACCACCCCACAAGCCTTAAGATAGTGGTTCTCATCTTGGCTATACTTCAGAGTCATTTGAGGAGCTTTCAAAAAAAATTTATGCCCTAAACTCACTTCCTGATATTCTGATTTAGTTTGGGATTGGGTAGGGCTGTCCTAATTTTAAAGTACAGCCAGACTTGAAAGTCATTATGATGTAGAGAACCAGAGTATTCCATAGAATAAACAAAATAGCATGGACTTCTTCATTATTATTACTCCCCTAAGCTTTGTGACATTGCTTTATAATTGTGTACAATACAAAAAGAATGAAAAAATAATAATGTGCCAATTAATGTGGGGCTCTCTGGTTTAAATTAGCACCATGGGTCCATCATGGTCAGATCTGAAGGGACTTCCACATCCATTGTATTCACTTATTATCATTTTATAAATTATAATAACTTATATTTATAATTCAGCTCCAAAACAAATTTCTGGAAGAAAAACTCAGAGTGGCATTTTTTAGTGTGGACATTTTAGACTATCTTCAATATTTTTTATCTTTCCCATGTCTTATTATTTTGGTGAGACCATGGTTCACTTATATTCTAGAATTGTACCATCTGGTCTATACCAAATATGTGGAATTTACAAATACCATTAAGGGGTATAAAGTTTAGAATAATTAAGTTTAAATAGGTTAGGTTGGACTACTTTGCATGAGCAAACATACAAATATGTTTTCTCCAAAAACCTTTTGCCTATAATCAGGAATTATCTTGGTGCACATCCTTTCAAAGTACAGAACAGTGCACATGTTCTAGAGGAGAGTGAAAATCCTCCTCTAGAAAGGTCTTCTACAAAGAAGGAATACTGAGGGTTACAATGGCACAAGTACCTCATAGTAACCACCAACTCCACACTCATGTTTAATATTAAATAATACAAACAAGCAACCATAAGCCTCATTCCTCTATAAGGATATCATAAACCCCTAGAATCCTATGGAAGATAATCCAATATTAATTTGCATTATGAAAGCTAATAATCTACCTAACCATATACTCCCCTGAGTATTCTTCTAGAGAGAATTATCTACAGCCATGGCCTGCCATTTTTCTTTTATCACTTATGTAACACAGACATCTTTGGGTATTGGGATCAGTAACATGCAATACCTGGAAGAGAAGCTGTTAACTTTCTCCACCCTGACCAAAAAATATATATATGCCTGCAAATTAAATCAAGCCCAATTTATAGAGTCCATTTTTAGCCACGTACTAAGTAGACCCATAAATCAAAATAAAAATTGCTCACATTTTTTAAATTATTTGTCTTTTGTGAAATACAGTTGACAGCCTAAACCTGAAAATATTTTATTTATACATTTATTTCAACATTTTACTGCTACATTGTCCATTCTGGCATGGTCCTATTGCTCAGAATTAGATGTGAATTTAAAAATAACTTTTATGGAAGCAGACAACCTCACTGTGAATAATTAATAGTTCTCTTATAAAGATATCAAAAATATAGTCTCCCAAGTCATCAAATTATTACTAAAAATGATGCTAGAATACACATTAAATAGTCAACTTGGGACACTGGCATGGAAATGTGTTAAAGAAATGTTAAGACTTTTTAAAAAATCAATATAACATTGGTTTATGCAGTAGGTAAAAAATATAAAAATACTTTTTGTCAATAAGGTAAGAAACAAAACATGGAGCAAACAAAATTTTATCTCTATGACAGGTAAAACTAAGCACTTTTCCCTCTTTCATTTTAGATTGCACTCATAGTTCTATGAAATATTAATAAAGAAAATAGAATTTCTAAAATGCACATTGCATTCAGTTTGATTAGTTCTTTCTAAATTTAACACATTAGCACATGCACATCTTTTCTGGGCTCTGATAGTGTATCATGTTGGTTCAGCAAGGGTAACTGAGTTTTGGAATTACCTTTTTAACTCTGACTTATCCTCCATTGTAATGATAAAGTGTACCTTCTGCATGAAAGACCAGAATAAACAGCCAGCTTGGACTTTTAAAATTCTACTCTTTGAGAAACTTCACAGCTATTTACTTTTGGTATCAAGTGGTGTCAGAGTCTGTGATACCAGAAGTATGATGACAAGCTTGATTCTTTTCATTTTTCCACCAGCTCTTCAAAATACTGTAGGAAGACTGTTAAAAAGATCTGCAAACTGAAGTTCTAGTGCCAATTTTATTCATAGCAGAAACTTCTTAATTTAAAGAGAAATAAACTTAGTTAATTGGGACTTCTCAGAAGTTTGTAACAGAGATGATGTTTCTTAAATAAAATAAATGAGAGAGAGAACAGTAATGGCAGTGCTTTGCTTCTTTCTGCCCATTTGTGACAGAACATGTTTATCTTTTCAGCACTATTCAACCTCATACCAGTGGGACTGCGTGTTGTTGCCATCCAGGGAGTGAAGACAGGGTTGTACATAGCCATGAATGGAGAAGGTTACCTCTACCCATCAGTAAGTAACACGCAAAAGGTGTTGGTCCTTCATTCAATGTTTGCAAAATAACAATAGCAGCAATAACAAAATAAGAAAATTCTGTGTCCATTGACTATGACATTTTTGGTCTGTACTACAGTGATGTAAGAGCTGTTTATTCATTATTTATCAGTTTTGTTAATATCAGCATATCAAGCAGAAAAGTGATATTGCCTCTTAATATGTGTATTTGCATATTTTAAAAAGTGACCTAGTTCATAGAAAATTGAAAAATTTTGAGTTAATGTCAATGTGATCTTTTTGTTTCTATTTAGAAATATATTTAGATAGTGTCTTATAAAAGACTGGTACAACCACTATGGTAAACAGTATGGAATTTTCTAAGAAAACTAAAAATGGATCTGCCTTTTGACCCAGCAATTCCACTGCTGGGATTATACCCTAAGAGCCCTGAAACACCAATCCAAAAGAACCTATGTACCCAAAAGTTCATAGCAGCACAATTTACAATAGCCAAATTTTGGAAGCAACCTAGGTGCCCATCAGTAAATGAATGGATCAAAAAACTATGGTACACTTAAACAATGAAATTCCATGCAGCAGAAAGAAAGAAGGAGCTCCTACCCTTTGCAACAGCATGGATGGAACTGGAAAGCATTATGCTAAGCGAAATAAGCCAGGCAGTGAAAGACAAATACCATATGATCTCACCTTTAACAGGAACCTAAACAACAAAACAAAGAAACAAGCAAAATATAACCTGACACTGAAATAGAGGAGAGGCTGATAGTGACCAGAGGGGAGAGGGGAGGGAATTTCAGGGGAAAAAGGGAAGGGTTTACTGGAACAAGTATAAAGGATACATGGACAAAAACTAGGGGTGGGGGGCAGAAATGGGAGGGAGGTGGGGAAGGCTGGGGGGTGGGCTGAGATGGGAGTAAAAGACAGAAAACTGTACTTGAACAACAATTAAAATAAAAAATAAAAGAAAAAATAAATGTGATGATATTTAAGCAAAAATATTATTTTATAAAAATAAAAAGTAATTGTGATTTCTAAATAGAAAAGAGACAAATTTAAAAGGAGTAGTTCTTTTTAAATAAGAGTTCAAATTGTATAAACATTTTTCTAGGAAAATACTTGTAATATCAAAATGTAAATTTCTTTTAACTCTGAGTAAGTCTCCTCATTTTGTGTTAATATCAACAGAAGTTGAGCACTTTTCGAGCCATATAACCTCTTCTGGAATATTTACTATTTGCCAATAATTTGCATTCAGATATGCTGTATTCATACATTATAATGCTATTAGAATTCACTTCTGCCTCAGGTTTCAGCAATAGAGACTTAAATTAAACTATTTTTTTCTATTATCCTTTGAGCAAAAATCAATAGATTAAAGATAGTGCCTCAAAGAAAAATGCTATTATTTGGGTTTGCAAGCCATCATCATATACATTCTTTTTTTTCTTTCCTTTTTTATTTTTTCCATTAACATTTGTTACCCCTATGCCACCCTCCCCTCTATAATCACTACACTGTTATCCATGTCCATGAGTTTTTTCTTTTTGCTAATCCTTCTACCCCCTAGCCCTTCCCCTCTACCACAGCTGTCATCCTGCTCTCTATCTGAGTCTGTCTTTATTTTACTTGTTAGTTTATGTTGTTCATTAGATTCTACATATAAACAAATACATATAGTATTTGTTTCTCTCTGACTGGTCTATTTCACTTATCATAATGATCTCCAGTCCATCAATACTGTCACAAAGGTTAATATTTTCTTATTTTTTATGTCTGATTAGTATTCCATTGTGTAAATGTCCCATAGTTGTTTTATCCACTCATCCATTGGTAGGTACTTGGGTTGCTTTCATATCTTGGCCATAGTAAATAATGCTGCAATGGGAATTCTTATCATGTAATCGATTCTTATCAATTCCAATGATGTATTTCACAGAATTAGAATACATATTTCAAAAATGTGTGTGAAACCACAAAAGACCTCGCATAGCAATTGTGATCTTAAGAAAGAAGAATAAAGTTACAGGAATCATGCTACCTAATACCAAACTATACTATAAGGCCATAGTAATCAAAACGGCCTTGTACTGGCATAAAAACAGGCATATAGATCAATGGAACAAATTAGAAACCCCAGAAATAAATCCATAAATTTATAGTCAATTAATATTTGAATGAGGAATCAAGCACATTCTGTAGGCTAAAGATACTTTATTCAATAATGGTGCTGGGAAAATTGGACAGATAAGTGCAGAAAAATGAAATTAGACCACCGACCACCTTGTTACACCACACATAAGAATAAATTCAAAAAAAAGGTTAAAGACTTTAATGTAAGACTTGAAACCATAAAAATCCTAGAAGAAAACACAGGCAGTAGAATCTTAGACTTTGCTTGTAGCAATATTTTATTTGGTATATATCCTCAGGCAAGGGAAACAAAAGAAAAAATAAACATATGGGACTTTATCAAACTAAAAAGTTTTTGCACAGCAAAGGAAATTATTAACAAAAAGACAACTCACAGAATGGGAGAACACATTCACTTATGTATCTGATAAGGGGTATGTCCAAAATTTATAAATAACTAATAAAATTCAACACACAAAAAAGACAATCCAATTAAAAAATAGGCAAAGGACCTGAATGGACACTTCTCCAAAGAGGACACACAGATGGCCAATAGACGTATGAAAAGCTGCTCAACATCAATCATCATCAGATATATACAAATTAAAGTTGCAATGAGATATCACCTCACACCTGTCAGAATGGTTTCCATTAATAAATCAAACAGCAAGTGCTGGCAAGGATGTGGAGAAAGAGGAATCCCTTTGCACTGTTGGTAGGAATGCAGATTTACACAGCCACTGTGGAAAGCAGTAGAGAGATCCTAAAAAAAATTAAGAATGAAACTGCCCTATGACCCAACAATTCAATTTTGGGGAAAATACCCAAAGAAACCTAAAACACTAATTTGAAAGAACATAAGCATATACATTCTTTAAAACTCCATTGTTAAATATCATCATCAAAAAAACTACATATGAACAGACATACATAGAAACATCTGCATAGGTATATTCACATGCACACAGACTTAAGCAGAAACATTCTCTGTGGCCTCCCATAACATTTGATATGTTTTCTTTAAGAATTCTGGGAAATCTTGTCAAAGAAAATAAAATGTGAGTTGTGAATTTCCTTTGTGGTGAGCTGGAAAACTCTTTTGTTAATCTTCCGAGTTCCCTGAAGGATGTTCCTGCAAACAGACCTGGGCCCCACATTATGCAAATTGCATTCAGTTGCAGAAAATGAATATTCAACATACTGCTACCAAAATTAGGCTAGAATTCCCTGTCCTCTCTCTTTGGCAAAAATCCGATTCAGATAAGATTCTAAAGATGCCTTATTTCAGATACAAATCAATTTTATTGATTTTATATTCATTCTGTTACTTTTGTTTTTCTTCCCACAAGTAATCTTTGAGATGCTTACAGATTATTAGATTCAATATCTGCCATAGCCTCTAGTCCTTGGTTTCTGTTGATTATTTTATCATTTTGTTGTGCTCTGGTATATGTGTTGATTCAAAAGAAATTTAAATATTGGTTTTGCTCCTGAGAAAGATGCTTTATAATTTTTGTGATAAGGTTGTACAAGTGTGCCATTTTTTAAAGGTGGGAGTATGTGTGTTAGCCTAAAATACAAGTAAGTACTGGTTATATTTGGTGTAATCTAAGCAGTGCAGCAGGAATAGAAGTGAGGAAGGCACAAACTGCCTGGTCCAGTCCTCAGCATCTTAAATATGGCCTCCTTGCTCAGGAATCAGATCTGTTGGCTACACCTGCCCCAGGATTTGTCCCAGTGACAACCTCAGGCATATCCTCTAATCCATTGATTTCTACTCTTACCTCCCTGATTCTCCAGTTACTTGGCTTCTGGACCACCCTTTTGGTGGCCTGATTCTCTGATTGGCAGATCTTGATTTTCTCCCTTCCCCATCTTTGACTTTGCACTGAACCCAGGATATGGTAAGAGGCATTCTACTGACCCAGCTCTGATGCTGAGAGATCCCCTCTGCCCAGGCCATGTCCTTGGGATCCTCAGCTATCTTGTAGGAAAGGAATTAGATAAAAATCAAATGTAATTTCCAATTTTTATTAACACTCCATAGTTAAAATATTTTGTGATAAAAACTGAACTTCAAATATTTCAGTAAAAAGAAGGTTTTTGCATATTCACTCATTTATTCCACAATTAGCTACTGAGAGCCTAATAAAATAATAATATAACATAATATAAAATTATATTATTATACTATATAATAGTTCTTACTAATAAAATAATAATAGCTACATTTATATAGCTATTATATAAATGTTATATATATGTATGTATATATACATATGTGTGTGTGTGTATATTACTCTGCCTAGCACTGGTTTAAGCACTTTATAGGTTGACTCACTTAATCCTTGTGGCAACCTATTATGAAAATGTTAAAATGATAATACTGATATAAAGAATGTTAAAGAATTTGTGCAAAGTCACCAAGTAAGCCATAGAAAATAAAAGATTTGAGCACATTAGTCTGACCCATGGCTTACATTTTTAACTGTTTTGTTATACAGTATTGCTTCCACATGCCAGACATTTTCATAATATAGTCTGGCACATATGCTAATAACATAAAAACATGACAATGTAATGAAAACCTTTAGAGATTTTATATCTGAGGAAGAAACATCATTTTAATTATGAAAAAGAATAATTTGAACCAATCTGTTTTCTTTAGAGAGTTTCAAATAAAACAGTAAAAATCATAGAAAATTCTATTTATTCAGGTAATGTTTGATGTTAAATACTGGGCATTAAATATCCTTAACACTTATTATATGTAACATTTGAGTTTAAAATTTAAAACCCAGGATGGCTAACCCAACTAAGAAGTGTTGAACTCGGTTGAGTAAATTTTTTAAAAGGACTCCAGC